GACGAGGTTGGTTATTCATGGCAGTGTTGTGTGTTAGATTACGGAGGGCTTTGACCAATGTATGTTTGTAACTTGATCATTCCTATGTCTATACGTATTTTAGTTCTTATCAAACGGATAGTGTAACAACCGAACTCGGGGGTCCGAATTGCTAATCAAGTCCTTAACCGAATCGAGGACACACTAGGGGCAAAATGGTCATTTTACAATATAAGAGGATAATCTATCCTTAAACTAATCAAATGAAGTTTAAAACAACTATTCTAGTCATTCCATGACATTTGAAGAGGCTCTATGATCATTGGACATGATTTCCCAAAAGTGCCCTTACACGGTTCAAGGGAAATTCCGACACTATCCCACTAAAACAACCATATCTATCAACATGAATGGAATTTGAAGATGAGGTTGGTTTCATTGGAAAGGGAACTCAAAATCCTTGAAAATGGACTCAAGAATGACCCTATTTGGTTTAGAACGAAGAAGTTACGACTGCACGAAGTCAAATGATCCAAGTTGTCATATTGTGTAAGTCAAAAGGTGCACTGGGGGACTTAAACCGGTCCAAGGACCCTGAACTAGTTCAAGATTGGCAGTGTGCCTAACTGTGAACCAAATGCATCCCTTGAATCAGTTCAATGGGGTTGAACCGGTTCAAGATGACCAGAACCCTGAAAAATGACCCAGAAAGCTTAAAATTATGAACTTGTGCATATAGGCACCCCTTTGGTCCCTTGGTGACCTTACTTAAAGTCCAAACTTATCCCAAATCATACATTTGATGGTGTATAAAATATAATTAAGCGTCCTTACATTCACATAAATCATAAATAAGTCTATTACGTCAATTGAAGTCCAAACAAGGTTTGAATACACCTAAACATGGCCGTGTGATTATACATGAAATCAAATACTAGAGAAGCCTCAATAAGTACATGGCATAGCTCAAAATAAACTTGTAGCAAAATAAATACATGGCCTTCACAAAAAAACTTTCTATATCAATTTTTACAACATCAAAATGGACTAAAGACCTAGTCTACAAGAGAGGTCCCTTGGACTATCACGGGTGGTGCTGTGGTCATCTACTATCTCCTTTCCGATTCCTGAAAATGATAGAAATGGGGTGAGCACAATGGCTCGGTAGGAAGTGCCTAAAACTCCCTTCTTGATGATCCTGTGAATCCATATAAAGCATAGGAAATAGAGAAGGGGATCATGCTCATTAGGGGAATATCAAATTATCAAAACAAATCCAACAAAATCCTCATATGCAATGCCGTGCAATGCAATGCCAATGAGATAGAATATCGCTCCCCATTTCCAAAACCTTTTCCAATCACAACCATTTCTAAACCGTTAATGTAACAAGGCCCATGGCAACTCCATGGCGCCACGAGAGAAGGATCGGCTAACTATCTCTGACCCATGGCAACTCCATGGCTTCATTTGGGGACTAGGTAACTCAACCACGCTAGGGCAGTCTCCTTAGTTCCCTCTAAGTCCCATTAACACCATGGAACCTAGGCAACTCCTAGGCGACCGGTTTTCGCAAATAATTTTCCAAATCCTTTCCTTTTAAAACCACTTCCCCAAAAAAAAGTTTTCTTTTCTTTTCAAAACCTTTGTCCCTTTTTCCTTCCCAATGCCATGCATGAATGTTACATGTATTTCAATGCTATGAAATCCAATAGATTGAATCCATCAACATATGACATGCGTGGGAAATTAATTAACATAACATAGATATATATATATCATGCCTTCAATTCATTAGCTATAACAATTTACGCATTTAGTCCATAAACAATGTCAATTTTACCAACTATTCCACAATTACTCACACAGGCATGCATTATAACACATTGAAGACATGTAGAACATGTATATCATCAACGATACAACTATATCATCTTAAACATGTAAAGCACGTAATACTATAATTCAAGCATTTATCTTACAATAATTCAATTAACAAGTATGTCAACACATTGCCACACAAGTAGTACACTACCATGCTTTACATATGAATAAGTCTATTAACCATAAGAAAATTATCACAATTTAACATGCTATAAACACAATACAAGAAGTATAACTCACAAAAACCAAAGGTAGTGAGGTTTAGAGACCCCCACCTTAAAGTTTACAACCAAACAAGTCCTTAGGCCTAGCCCAAATTCGAAATTCTCCAAACCCTTACACCATTGGTCTCAAATGAAAGTTCTCTCCAATCTTTCCAACTTTCCTTTCTTGGTCACCTCCAAAATCTCACTCTAACCCCTTCAAATCAAGGTTTGAAACAATGGAGGCATATATGTATATAGATGCATAGATATGTCAAGAGAGGAAAAAGGAAACTAGAGAGAGAGGGGTTTCGGCCGAATGAAGAGGGAGAGGGGTTGGGTTTATTTTTTTGCAGTTGATTCCATGTTCTGAAGTATGCCACTTGTCAAGCTTTGAGTGGAACCAACTTTTGGTCAATTTATCACCTTGTCCCTCACTTAAACAATTCCTTCCATTTAAATCCCATAAAATATCTCAATGTATGCTTACATCTATATGTAAATATGTGTGTGACATTCCCATATTGCCCTTCACTTAAATGAGAAAACCGGGAGAAGTTCCCGAGCTCGGAAATCGTCCCGACTTCAAAAATTATAAAATCGATCCCATCACCTCTAAATGACTTAAAACAATTAAAATTACATTTCTAAAACCTTCAACTCAAAAAATGACCTAACTGGCACGCAAAATGAGGTACGAAAAATAATTATAATTAAAAATAAATTAGAAAAATTCGGGACATTACATGAAATTAGCAAACATAGGCCACGAAGGCCATAGGAGGGCAAACTGGCTGACGCCTGGAGATTTCACGTCGACCGTTATCTGGGCAGTAGCTGCAGAAGGACATGGAGGCTAAATTAGTTGACGTGTACCTTGCACATGTCGATCGGTTCTGGTTCTTCCCTTGTCCTTGTTTCTTCTTCTCTTATGACTAATCCCAAGCCACTCAATGATGCAATGGTGTACGTATCATGGACCTTTAAATGATGTATCAATTACGATTTGACATTGGAAATGGCCATAATGCCCTTAAATGACCTCAGGCTTAGGTAAGCACCCGGATAATGATTCTGACCCCCGAGTTTGGCTCATTTCACATTTGCTTTTAGAAACATACCCTTTTGGTGAAAGGATTCCCGTGTTCCTAAGGCTTTGGATAGTGCATCCCTGCTTTGAATTGACCACTGGAGGGAGATTTGAATTTGAAATTTGAAGGGGCAGTGGCTTAGCCAACTGGTGGTGGCGTATTTGAATGGGGTTTGCCAGAGAACATAGCTTAGCACCAAGAACAACAAGAAGTTCATCACTAAGATCAACATTTGTTTTGTATAGTGTTGCATTTTTTATGTTTGAAACACCAATGAGGTCACGAAGCCATGCTACCTCATTCAATAGCGCTGCATACTTAGTATCATTTTGATAATCAACAAGAGTAAACTCTGAGGTTGTAGATTTCATTAGTCATCTGCTGGGTTTGCTAATGCCGATGCCTTCCAAGGCATTCTATGGGTCATGGAGCTTAAACTTCCTAGCATTGGGTGATGGGTTTACTGGTGAGGTAGTGGAGTGGTAGCAGTTGTTTTGGGATGTGGGGGTGGTTTGGATGAGCTAGTTATGGTATGAGGTTTGGAGATATGTGGTTGGATAGGTGTACATGGTCACTTGGGAATGAAGATTGGGGTTGGAGAATCATGATTCGGTGGATTGAGTGGAAAGATGGTGGCTTCAAGTAATTTAGTTGAGGATTCCAAAGGGATGGTAGTATTACATATGTTAGACCATTAAAATTACCGCTAAAAAGCGAAAGGCTCTTTGACCTAGCGGTATAATCCATGGTTGTTAAAATCATGATTCTGACTCGTAGAATCGTGCGATTTTGCGATCCAACAGCCCAAATCGATCCGAATCGTAGAAAAATCGTGGCTTCTGCAAAATCGTGAATTGAATCGCCGGGATCGTACATAGAATCGTGGAATTCTATACGATCCCAACGATTCTGAATTATCCATGATTGTGGTCTTGTTTTGGGTTTAAGAGTTGTGAAGAAACCTTAAATCGATTACCACAGTGCAACAATTCCTTCTCTTTCGCGGCCTCTAGCACAACTCCGAGAAGAGATAAGATGCAGAGGGCAAAAAGAATGTTAGGGTTTTGCTGAAGAAGAAGCAGAAGAGGAGGAAAGAGGAAACAAGAAGCTAAGAAAGCTTACCTAAAAAAGACGAGAGGAGCTGCCGCTGCCGCAGGGAATTGCAACAGGGGAATTTTGCTCTCTCTGTCTGCCGCTGGGGAATTGCAACAGGGGAATTTTGCTCTCTCTGTCTGCCGCTGGGGAATTTCATGAGGGTGAGATGGTCGACAAAACACGCTCTTTTCAGATGGCAAGTTGACCTAGGTCAAACTTGCCTAAAAAAGATTGATTTTGGGCCTTATACTATTCTTGTGCTCTATTGTACCACTGGGCCAAATGGGCTTTGTAAGTTTTAAGTTTTTGAAGCCTAATGTAATATTTACATTTGTATAAAATTTGTCTAGCATTCCAAAAACTAAATAAATAAATTAAATTTTAAAAGAATATGTTGTAAATTTTAAAAGAATCTGTTGATAATTTTATATGAACTTATTAATATATATATATATATATATATATATATATATTTGTGTTTTTGGCTCATTTTTTATTTATTTTGAAGATAATTTTTGTTGAGAAAGTTAGTTTGAGTTGTATTTTTTAATTTGGTAGAATCTTACGATTTACGATTCGATTCTACGATTCCGATTCGATGAAATTCAAAACTATTCTAGGTAGAATCCCGATTTTAACAACCTTGGTATATCTCCCCTATCATTGCTTTACCATTCAGATATAAATAAATAAATAAAAATAAAAATTTCCGCTAAAAACGGCTCATTTTCATAATAAAGGCCTGGAATATATATATGAAAAAAAAGTATAGAATATTACTTGGAAAGAAAATGATTCATATAGGAAAGGACATAGGTTTTCTAGCTAGCAATTCCATAACAAGTATATATACAAAAATTATTGTCATGACCAGTGGAAGAACTGGTCAAAATGGTTCAATTCATGAACCAGTTCTTGCACTACAAAGGCTAGCAAGAAACTACTATTACAATATAGTCTATATAGAGGGAAATCTGTACATAAATTAACACTTCTTATTGCTGCATGAGTTCACATACTCATACAACTTCAATATATGCCTCCTTCAAATGGAAAGAAAAAAAAAAAATTTCGAAATCCACTAATAATCCTTTGGAATCGGGTTGGTTGTGAGTCCAAAATCAAAGGGAAAGAGTGGATCATATTTTTGATCCCCGACATTCATTGGGAGCTGATTGACATTCTTGAACCAAGTTCTAGCAAGCTTCCCAGTGAATCCGTAATCGCCAAAAAGGACATCAGTCACACCGTGGCCTTCAGAGCCTGGTAGCCAAGCAGCAACAAGAGCATCCATGTCTTGTAGGAAAGGCTCCACCACAAGAGGTCGGCCTGCAACAACGACCACTACACACTTGACACTGCCACATACATTTTTTATTATGCTTGGACCAGGTTCAGGAATTGTCAAGTTCAAACTGTCTCCATTAGTTTCAGCAAAAGGAGGTTCTCCCACGACAACAATGGCATAGTCAAATTTGTTGTTATTGATAAGCTCAGTACTTGGGTTTTCACTGTAGATAATTTCAGTTCTTGGATTAACTGTACTTGAGATAGCACCTAGGATTGTTGTTCCTGTCCATTAAAAAGAGCAAAAAACATCAACAAAATGTAATGCTTACTATTAAGGAGTGTTGTTAATCAAAGGGAATTTAAACATACCTTTGGTGAGGTTATTGCCACTCATTCCCTGCCATTCAATTGTCCAGCCACCACATTGGCTACCCAAATCGTTGGCATGTTTACCGGCAACGAGGATCCTGGTTGTGTTCTTGGGGAGAGGGATCAAAGGACTGTTTGGTTGCTTCCCATTCTTCAATAACACCAGTGATTTCCTCACAGCTTCCCTTGCCAATTCCCTATGTTCCTATTTGATAAACATTGTATTTCATTTTTTTATATAAAAGAAGAAATCAAGCTAACATTTGAGAGTGATATATTTAGAATGTATATATATATATATATATATATATATATATATATATGAAGACAAATTACTTAAATCAACCATATATGATTGAAAATTTAAGTGAAAAAAGTTTGAAATGTAGATTAATCAAGCAACCTGGTTTCCAACTTTATCAGCTAGGCTATAATCATACAGGGGCTTCTCAAAGAGGCCCATAATGAACTTGACTCTCAAAATCCTCCTGACGGCATCATCAATACGACTCATTGGGACGACTTGCTTGTTGACTAAGAGGGTCAAATTTGAAATGAATCCCTTATAATCATAGGGAACCATGATCTGGAAAAGCAGCCAGTAGAGATTTTCAAAGTTAGATATATTTCAACATATTTTATCAAAATTTTCGGTTCTGCATTGATGAGAAAAATAGTATTTCACTGCAGAATTAGCAACTAACCATGTCAATGCCAGCATTGACTGAAGCCTCAACCGAATATGTGTAGTTTGCATTGGGAGGTGAGGTGATCCTGTCAATACCTTGCCAATCAGAGATGACAAAACCCTGCAGGAAATTCAAAACATAAACATTTGTATTAACATAAATTCATTACATGAGAAGTTCTACAAGTTCTAGTAAAAGTGTTCACTCTGATCATAACAAATAAAACGTGGTGATTTATACATGTACCTGGAACTTAAGGGCGCCTTTAAGGTAGTTTATGATAAGATCGCGATTAGCATGCATCTTCACTCCATTCCAACTTGAATAGGAAATCATGATTGTGGACACACCCTTCCTGATGGAGTCCAAGTAGGCAGGCATGTGAATATTTAGCAATCCATTCCAGTCAATAATAGTGTTGTTCTCATTGATTCCATTCACTGTGCCACCATCTCCCACAAAGTGTTTTGCGCAGCCCAGAACTTTGCCTCTATAGTGTATGTGTCACGGAAGATAAAATCACACTAATTTAGAGCAAAATTAAATATAAGATCAAATACAAGTAAGGAACAATGTATATAATAATAAACTTACTTCTCCATATAAGGATATTCCTTTGGGTAGTTGGATGGAGGCTGGCCTTGTAAACCATATATGATGTCTGTCATTTGTTGCACAATTGTGTGATCTTCACTGTAGCTTTCATAACACCTACCCCATCTTGGATCCCGGCATACCTATTGTCCCAAGAAGTTGAATCAAGAAGAAACGTGTCAATTCTTAGTTACATGTATTTATTTGTGGTTCATAATTGATTTAAACCAAAAATCACCACATTTCCACAAACTGATTTTATTTCAAAGTTTGAGTTTATACCGCAATGCAAGGAGCAAAAGCATAAGGAATGCCGGTAGCTACAGTTTCAAGAGCGGTCGCTGCACCAATCCTCTTCACAAGCTCTGGATCCCTGAATGACCACATGCCCATCATAGCTAAATATTAGTATTAATTGTCAACAACATAATACAGCTACATACATACAATACATTGTTTTGGTTTAGCCATGTACTAAAAAGAGAAAAAAATTAGCTTAGCATTGTGAATTTATCTGCTAGGTGGTGAGCCCATAAAAAACTAATGTACAACTAATGGCCAATGCCTACATGGCCCGTTTGGATCATCATAGGGCCAAATGGGCATACTGACACGTTTTTTGGGATAATACCGAAGTGTCTGTTTTTGACCCCAAACCCAATTTTTCAACTCGAAAGGGCCCAACAAGCAATACCCACACCTATAATGTGACTATGTCATATTTTGTCTTATAAGAGATCCGTTGATTATTTCAGAATTTTTGTTTGTAACATGAACAGATTTTTATTTAGTAGTTTTTAGTGATAATGTTTCTTATTTTCTTATTTTTTATTTTTTGCAATTTTTAGAGAGAGTTGATTTTTAGTCTTATTTTTTTAGTATTAATTTAATTTTAATATATACATATATCTATATTTTGAAACTTCAAGCGCACACACATCCACTATAAATTATGTCTCTTCTAAGATTCAAACACTCAACTTTATTTGGGAAATAGAAAGCTTATACCACCCATTGATCATTTCCTTTTGATATTGGATTTTGTTATTATAAGGTTCATTATTATAAGGTTTTCTGATGTTCTTAATTTTCTGTTTATTATAAATGCATATACTGCAAAATGGGGTTTTTCTTCTCACTATATTCAGCTCCCTTGTGGGTTTTTTTTAATTAGTTAGTTTTCCTATATGAAATCTAGTCTTATTGGTAGTCAATACATGCATGCACATGCAAATTCAGTCTAAACAAATGAACTAAACTTGCCTGGTTGCTCCGAGTCCAACATTGTGTGGGAAAATGGTGGCCTTATAGACATTGTTGTGTCCATGAACTGCATCAATAGAATAGAGCATTGGGATCCCAAGTCTAGTCTGGAGAGAACCCTTCTGGAAATCATTCACCATGTCCACCCAGTCCTTCGGCGTCGCGTGGGCCTTGGGGACGCTTCCACCACCGCTGAGCAAACTGCCAATCATGTAATCTTTCATGATCTGAGAAGTGATATTGACACGATCGATCTGAGTCATCTGACCGATCTTCTCAGCAAGAGTCATTCGCTTCAACAAGTCCTCAACTCGAGCCTCGACAGGCTGTCTCCAGTCCTTGTATAAGATGTACTCTTTTGATGGTGTGTGCATGGGATGGGGTTGTTTTATGCCATGTCTTGGGGGTTTTTTTTCTTCTGTTCTTGTTGCTGCTGCTGCGGTAATGACGCAAAATGCCAGGATTCCCACTAAGGGGACTCTAATATTCTTCAGAATCATCTTTGCACAGAGAATTTTATTTTTTCTTTTATTTTGATATCAAAAAATAAATAAATAAATAAAATGAAAAAACAAAAGATAGTACAAAGTCAGATTTCATATTCAAGAAGGTTAGCTATCTAGCTTTGCAAGAAAGACAGAGATTATGGAATATTGAAATGTTATGAAGTAAAGTTGATTCAAAATCCATGATATATAAATAAGTACAGTTAGAGAAATATAAAACATGTATGTATAGTACACATGTTAGCGTGATATGAATAAACATGTATGTATAGTAAACATGTTAGCGTGATATGAATAGAGAAGTAAAAAAGAAGAACTTTGAACCTCTCCCCTTGAAGACAAGAGATTATAATGATACTTAAACCTACTTTTGAGGGGTATTAATCTGACCCATTCAATTGTTACCATCAAATGTCTTAAACTGAATCCTACTGGAGACCCAACTTTAATGCATCCTAATGTCATAAGTGATTCGGTCAGGCCCAATAGCCTGACTATCAGTATAAAAATCATTTTCCTATGAATAAGATGGCCATTATCTACGAGAAATTATTATGATAAATTATTAGATGATGGAGATTCATAAACACTTGGTAGACCAATTCAATTTACACTTTTCGATTCAGAAAATAACTTCACAAGGGTGTATTAATATATTATACATAAATAATGTATTCTCAATATCCATCAAACATGCAGAACATATAGGAGGGACAGATAGGACATAAATGTAAAGAAAAATACTTTTTAATCTTTGATATATATATATATATAATAAAGCAATACAAGGGAGAAGTAGAGAAAATGTACCCTATAACAAAACAGAAACGGCATGCAGATTGGAACAACCTTTGTGTTTTGCTGTTCTGCAGATTTGGAATGAAGGGAAAACATTGATGTCACTTGGAAATTTATAGTGCCCTGGGTTTAATAACCCTACCTTGGGTTCCATACTGTCCTCTGAATGTTGCTTTTGATCTTGACCGTCTAGCTGGATAGAACTACTCATTAGATCTTTTATGGACAATTGGATCTGGATCAGTAAAATATCCATAAACGGGCTGACACGTAATTTTAAATATCCATCACAAGGTTATAAAAAGAAACAAATTGATGGATATGGAGCTGTAAATAAAGAGATACTGATGACAGAGAGAGAGGGAGAGGGGAGGAGAGGAGAGGGAAGAGATTTTGTAGAGAGAAAAAAAATGGCTACCGTAGAGTGAGAAACGAAAGGCATAGTGTCTTTGCCCTTTGGGGCCTTGGTGAATAGTTGTTCCTTTTTTTTTTTTTTGGCATCAATACACTTTGCAAAAAAAAAAGAAGAAGAAGAAGAGAGGAATCCAAACATGGAGTAAGTGTGTTAATATATATATATATATATATATATATTATACACACTTATATATATATATGAGGTTATTAGCAGGGGCATAAAAATTGGTTGAACCAGTGAATAGGAATGAATCGAATCAAATCAATCGATTAAAAAACGTAGATCAGTTTATAAATGGTTCGGTTCAGTTTGGGTCGTTTTTATTAGTTTTTGCTTAGTTTGATTCCAATTTTCATGGAATCATTAGGACCGGTTTGGTTCTAAAATACTGAATTGGTCCAATTTGAACCATTTGCACCATTAGTTATAGGCATTTTGGTAATGAAAAGGGGTATTTTTGTGCTTTTATATAACACGCACAGACACTTTTAGGAAGGAGACGTACCCGTGTCATATCCATGTGGAACACTGACACTCGTTTGACATGTGTTCGACACTTCATATACGTGTCTGTAAATAATTAAAAAAAATTATTTTTTTTGACATTTCCTGACACTTTCACCGACACTTTTAAATATTTCTAATACAAGCCTAATCGGGAATCTTGAAAAAAATATTAATACATTCTACAATATTCAAATTTTTTCTTCTAGAAAAATTGACATTATATGCATATGATCACAAGCGATGCATTAAATGATAATTATTCATTTAAAATAAAAATAATATTATGACAAAGTAGTGGAATAACTATATGTATGATATAAAAGTAATTACAACTCTTAGTATAAAAATAGAAATTAATTAAGTTTTATAATACTATAACGCAATACATGTATATAAATAAACTTTCATATTTATATATAATCGTGTCCAAGCCGTACACATGTTCTATTTTTTAAAAATTTGGCATGTCGATATATCCGTGTCGTGACATATCTGTGTCCCGTGTCTGTCTTTGTGCTACATAAATATAACATTAGGTTATTTAACGAACATGTGAAGGAGGGAGAAATTTACTTACGTTTCTCAAATCATAAGGGATTAAATGCCCATACTAAATAGTAAAGGTGTTTCTGCACAATTCCTGCAGAGTATATTCTTTTCTCTTTTTTTTCACTTTATCTTTTTAAAATTTAGGTGAAATGCACTTTGACACTATGTTTTCCCAAAATGACTTATTGACCCCCACAAATTTGCATAATTACACTTTCAGCCCTTTTTTCTTTATATGTCATAATTCCCCTATCTAACGGTAAAAAATGTCAATAATTTTTCGCAAATGTAATGAAGAACACTGTTTAATACATCTAGTTTGTCCTTAAGAAAAGTAAAAAGATCGACATTAATTAAAACAATCACCTACAAATTACTACAATGCACAACAATCATGTGACTATGTTTCACATTATATATGGTCATTTTGCACAACAGTCTCTCTGACTCGCATATTTCTCTCTCTTTCTAAAATCCCCTCTCCAACTCATATATATGCATCTTTCTCTTTCCCCCAATATGTTTAGTGTCTTAAATTTTGAAATTGAAGTGATAGCTTTATCAAGCACAAATGCATCTCAAGGAGACAAATTAATGTAGGGCTTCTAAGTTATAGGAATAAGGTATGTCCTTCTGGCAATTTCCCTAGAATTAAGGTGACATAACACAAAAGTAACAGAGGATTTACCAAAAAAAAAAAAAAAATTAACAGAGGAACGTTGTACCATGTTTGGCAAACTCAAACATGAAGTTGTGGGCATGGTGTATCCTCTCACAACTGATGAGGAGTATCTACCAAATTACTACAATGCACAACAATCATTTGACTATGTTTCACATATGTTGGTTCCTATATACGTTTCACAGTGTTTGCACTTTTAATGTCAAATCCATGCTTACAGGTGGTGCGAGGTCGTCGCTTACGCCCAAATTGATGTTTGATTTTGTGGCCAAGTTTGAATTTGTAAAAGTCACTACCACTACTAACTGCTAATGTAGCAAGAACGAGTAGGGATCGTCCCAAGGGATTTGCAAGGTATTCCAGAATCAATGTTAGATTAGTAGGTCAAATGATGAAATAGGGGTTTGATTGGTTGAATTAACTAATGGTTCAATTAAAAGCATGCAAACTAAAAGACAATCTAGAGATTAGGGATTAAAGAATGAAAGGGAAGTCTAAGGAGTTCACCACTAAGCTTCACCTCACTAAACACTTAGCATTTGACAATTTAGAGGGATTTTAAGTTGTCAACCAAATGTGTGTGTGTGAAATTGAAAACTAAGCATGGTTGGCAAATAAGCATAAATTGTCTAATCAATCTAGTGAGTAACACAACCTACCAAATCTAACCATTAACCATTCAATGAAACTACAATTAATACACAAAAAAAAAACTAGAGAAATGTACTACTTGCACACATAAGCATGGATCATCAAATAACAATAATGGATTGTCCACTTATTTAGGAAATTAAAGCAACTACATTATAACTACACTAATGACATGAAAATTAAACTAATTAAGCTAAGGAGGTAGCACAATCCATCAAGAAATAAACATGATCCATCATACAAACCATAAACGTAATCAATTAAGCATCATGCCTTGACCATCACTAGATTTATAATTTTAACACACATAGACATACGTCAATCTCAAAAAAACCTAGTGTAAACACATGACTATTCATTCTAGCATACATCGACATATGGATAGAAATAAATAGTCAATTGGAAGAATTCATCTATTCAAATCATGTAGAAATTCAAGATCAATATATATTCATGGTCAAACATCAATTACAACTAAAATCCCCAAAAATTACAAACAACTAAGGTTTAGGAGGCAAGCCTAGGGGCTATCTCTAGCCCCAATAGAAGGATCTAGCCACCCATTGTAGTGGTCATGGAACCCTCAAGAGTTATCTTCATTGTAGGCACCATCTTTTTCCTCTTTGCTTTGCTCAAAAATCCTAACTCTAGAGAGAGAAACTAACTATTTCTATAATTGGTAAAAAATGAAATTGAACAACCCTATACAAATTGGCTCATTTAATTCAAATAAAAGCCTCTTTGAGTAGGCAACAAGTTAGAAATAAGGCTTTTGATTGATGCAAACTCGCAGCTACAAAAGTTGGTGGAGTTCGGGCGCGTTCGGAAATTAAAACAACTCACTGCCAGCAGTACCTTCGATCGATCGAACAGGGCTTTGATCGATCCAACACTTACTTCGATCGATCGAAGCTGACGTGACAAAGATATTTTAACAGTTGGCAACCTTATCCATTGAGTTGGCAATACCTTGGTCTCGATCGATTGCAACTTCCTTTGATCGATCGGGACTTCAAGCTTCACAATGCAGTTTTTTTCTGACTCTTCTGGATTTGCTCCTTAGCTCCAAAACTGAGATAAAAAGCTCTTTTTAGCCTGTTTGAACCTTATTGACCTAAAATAGACAAAAACAAAAATAAAACCTAAAACATGAAAGTAAGATAGATGAATGGACTAAAATACGCTAGCTTAGGTGCTAAAATGCATCACATTTGAGCACTTATCAACCGAGCTACAATTTTGTATTACCACCATTCCACCTATGTTTATTGTTTAATAATGTCCCTCAAGGGTAGTTTACTTATTTACCATCATGTGATACTCTTTCATGAAGCTAAAGGATTATACATTGTAATTATATCTCAGTTCTCAGGCCTTTTTACTAGTTTTGATAAGGTTCAAGGTGTGATATTTAGCTCT